TTTTTTTTTTTTTTTTTTTTTTCCTTTTCTTTTTCGGTTTTGTTCCGTTCTGTTTTGTTTTCCGCCCTCGTTCCTCCTCGCCCAACTTTCATTGCTGTTCCTTATCGCTTTTCTCTTTATTCATTTTCTTCATTTTCATTCGCCTGTTCTGAAACCAGATTTTGACTTGGCGTTCAGTGAGATTAAGGACTCGGGCTACTTCGTACCTCCGGTCCCTTGTGAGGTACATATTGAACAAAAACTCTTTTTCCAGTTCCAGGGTCTGATACTTTGTGTACGGACATCTTTTCTTCCTCGTGGATCGCGCATGAATCCAATTCGCGACGGGATTGTCTGAGAAAGAAGATATTTGGTTTTTTTTTTTGCGCTGTGCTTTGGGTTTTTTGGGGCGGGGGGGGGGGGGGTGTTAAAACACAATAACTCCGGTGTTGTTCTGCCCCCCCCCCCCTCCTCCTTTTCCTCACAACCCCCCCTCAAGGCCCCCAACCTCCACGCTATGCTGAAAGCGACCTGCTCCGTTAGCAGCCCTCACCTAAATACACCGAGTGACCTTCGCGAGAGTTTAATCTGTTTATTTTGGAGGGGCCATTTCCTTTCCTTTTGCCGCCGTTTCTCACATTAAACGACAACAACAACAAAAAAAGGAAAATTAAATAAAACATAAAAATAAAAGGAAGAAAGAAAGAAAGGAAAAAAAAAGTTTCGGCGCATAAAACCCGCAGCGATGGGTTTCAAATAATAATCATTACCCAACCCGACCGCTGCTCGCAGTAATCTAAGGACGTAGTCATAAAAAGTCAAAATTCCCACCATTTCATAGGCCCATAAACTCTTTTTACAGCCTCAGCTCTGCTCTGCCTTCCCTCTGGAAGCTCTGGAGGACCTGAAAAGTGCGCTTGATTTCTGCCATATCGCGGAGGTGACACCCGAGATGTCCCAGCGGTTTCCTTCCTCGCCCCCAGGACCCCGCACGATGCGGGGAGGAAAAGCTTTTCTCCCTTTCCTGCACCCGTTTTCCCTTCGCTTTTTCCCTTTCCTCAGCCTCCCAGCTAAAATCCGCCTCCCCACCCCCATATTCCTGCTTTTATTTTTTCCCCTTTCTGATGTTCTTTTATTTTATTTGTCGAGGGGTGCTGCTGCTGGTTGGGGAGGAGGGGGGGGGTTGATAAACAGAGGTGTGAGTGCATTTCCACCTTCACTCCGAGCTCCGCACGCACAAAGGTGCTGCCTGAGGCTGGACACCGGGCTCAGCTCACGGAAATCGCCTTTTTTAAGCCCAAAGTTAGGCCGGGAGGTGCAGTCACACACGGAGCATCCTCGTGTCTTTCCTTTCCTCAACACCCCCCCGGGCGGGGGGGGGGGGGGGGGGCGCCGCGGCCCCCTCCGCCTTCACTACAAACACACACAGAACATCACCACCCCCAGCCCCACAGCCCGGGGTCTTGCAGGATTTGGAGCAACGCCGGCTCCCTTCTGTCGAGCTGGAGGTGCCGGGGGTTACCTGACCTTAACGCTGTCTTT